CCTCATCCAAGGTGCAAGAGCCTAAGGATTTATTGCATAAGCATGTCCTTATCAGGCTTCTTAAGAAGCCTTGAGACTATCAAGCCAGCATGATACAAATGCAATTTCAGGAGAAAAGTGATCCTTCAGGGCCTGAAAGAGCATCTATTGCCTTCAAAACTGGAGGAGTTGTGGGGTATTTTTTAATCCTTTTCATGAATCCAGGCTCTGCCAGCAGTCTGGGTAATCCCTTCAACCACTCAGATCTAATACTTGCTGTAAGGGGGCCTAACAACATTGCAGGGGGAAGGGGCACAAAAGCAGCAGATAGGCCAACAGCAGTGCCTGCATTTCCAGTGAAACACAGGAAGAGCTTGCTGTACAGATGCTGGGGGCAGAAGAAATCGGCAGGGAAATAACGGATCTGCCTTGGCTATGAGAAAATCAACTGAGGTCAGTCGGAGCCTAGGAGAGACACAGAGCCTACAGGTGATCTCCAAAAAAAGCAAAGTGAAACATGTTATGTAGTGCCAGAGTAGAAGTGGAGCTCACAGACCATGTACTTGCAGTGCATGACTGTAATCAGATCACTTGTCCAGGACAAACTTGAAAGGGAGAATGAGTGACTTCTAGGACACAGGAGAGAATTGAAAGAGATTGAATATTTCAGGAATTTTTGTTTGTTAAGACATTTTCTAAAGATCCTTTTGCCACCAAGCTATGTTCTTCAATTCTTACATCAAGTTTACTGCATCATTATTCACTTGCTGATGTAAAAGTGTAATTGCCTTGTTCCCAAACTCTCCCTTGTGTGACTTACACAGGGAGATCAGTTTGGCCAATGGAGAGCACTAGAGGGATCTCAGAAGTCTGAACTAAGAACTGAAATAGGTGAGATTTCCACCTCTGATGTTCACATGTATAAACATCAGACGCACTCTGCACTGAAACAGGTGAGGAAAGAGGCAGCTGCAGGACCTGAGACATCCCTGCACAAATACCTCTGGAACATTACATTCCCTGTGGTGACCCTTCAGCACAGGTCAACTTTCTGGGAAAGCTTTCTGTGGAATCCCTGAAAGTCTAGTTATGACTTTCAGCCTCAGTCTTCATACATGGCACATGCTTTTCAGAATTTGCTCAAAGACTTAAAACAACAAAATGTGACAGGTGTAAATCATTTGGGTCTACTCAGGTCACATGAGGAAACACAATTTGCTTGGGCAGTGTTATCTTACAACTTTTTGGCTTCCAAATGCAGAGCCACACTACTACAACTAGTTTTAGCTTCTGTAAATTCTCCTTGTATACATGCACAATGCTTTATACACATACAGGGAAGATCATAAGGATGCTTTTACTCTTTTAGTTAAAGTGCAACAGTCATGCAAATTAACACCAGCTGAAGGGTTTGCCCATCTGGGATAGAGATTTATTTTAACAATCATGCCTGTCAGGCCTAAATAAAGTTAGGTCTTTTTTTTTTTTTTTCTTTTTTTTTTAAACATATTTGTGCTGCGAAATTTCCATTGGTTTCTAATACAGAAGATACTCAATAGCACAGTTTGTGAATAAGCCAGACTGGAGAACTTGAATGGCCACAAATTATACTGATTCAATTGCTCTGTTTGCTCTAGACAGAGAAAAATGACTATGTAAGTTCTGCTGATGCTGATACCATGTTTATGAGACAATGAAAGTTGACTTTTCCAAAAGCTGAGCCAAAAAAGATAAATATGAGTACAGGCCCCCAGTTTGAAAAGAAGAAAGCTCTGTGTGAGTGGCCATGGACACTACACTTGGTTATGGTGAGTGACCAGGTACTCAAAGAAGCTTAGGTATTCACAACGAAGTTATTGTTGTCAGAGAAGCACAAGTTGAAAAGTGATTCTTTTGGATCCAGAAAACTTTTAGGTGAAACAACATTTTCCTGTCTGTGTCAAAAAATATCTCACAGTGAAACAAGCCAGATGATAGGACCCATTCAGCTCTTCAGCACTGGATCATTCATCTTTTGCCATGCTTTTCCCTCTGGCACCTAACCCACCAGATATGAATCACTTGGTTCCTTTATCAGAATAGACCCTCCGTCCCAATCATTGTGATCTGTATGAAAGATTACTGCCATTTCTGCTTTTGTTTACTTTTATTCCAGTTCTTGCACTGTGCTATACAATCATGTCATGAGAGGCAATCTTTCTCCTGAGGACCTTCATTTAAACAGACATGACAGCTGGTCAGGCAGGAGAAGCAAGAGGTGCTCCTCTCAGCTCAGCCAGAGGATGGCTCTGCCATGCTGAGCCAGGAGCACGTCAGAGCAGAGCCAGAGGGAAGCCTCCTCTGACCAGGGTCAGTGCCCATATCTCGTGCTGGCCAGAATATTGTCTATTAACCCTATGGTAAAACCCTTTGTGTTAGAAAGTACTTTGCAATAAGTTAGAATAAAGAATCATTTTCTGAGAAGACTTGGAATTCTGTCTCCTTTTAGGGAGGCCTAGCCTCAAAGGGGAGTATGAATGTACATAGCAGTTGCAAGTCTGCATTTTAAACTTTAGTGCTGTAAAAACCTGACATGCATAGTCCTCTTTTTTGAAAAAAAATTGTGAAAATTGCTGTAATATACAAGCCTGTGATAGTCTATTGGAAACAGACCCCGGACTAGGAAATGGAGAGTTGAAATGTTATAAACCACTAGTAATTTATTATTTTGAGATTGGCATATATTTTGGCTAAGTTAAAGTTGGCTGGAGTGATAGTGAGTGATGAAAGATGTTATGGCGGTTGAGAAGTGGCTGAATTCCTTTGTTTCCAGACTTTTCACTTTTTTTTTAAGGCGCAGAATGTTTATATAGGAAGTGTAATATTGTTTTATGAGTATTTGCTGGACACTTCTAAAACCAAGCATTCAAGCTTTACCCTTTTAACAAAGTGTTTTGTTATGGAATTCCGTTGGATTTTGACATTTCTAAATTAGGGTTAAGTCAGGTTGGTATGTGAAGGCCATGAGAGAACAGCCCAGAAGTGAGAAATTGTCTGATGTCTAACAGGGTGTGCTTCCACTGCAGGAGGTGATGTGATGGCAGGAAGAGAGAAGACTCTTCAACTGGGCATGAAGAAGCTGTAACATAGGGACACAAAAGGGACAAAAAGGGGCTGTTAAGCACTGGGAAAACTTTCAGCATGTTAAGGGTTTAACACCTTTAACGCAAGACCCTGCCTGTCCCTTGTCTGCTCTATGGGCCAGCAGAGCCTGCTTGTTTTCCACATCTCACTTCTACCATGTGGAACATAAGTATTTTTAGCCCCATGGTTATCAACTAACAGTCCTCCTTCCTGGTCATCTCTATTTTCTTCTGCAATACTGTGGTGCACAGTGAGCCATGATACACTCACATAATTGTTTCTAGTATGTCTCTGCAGATTTCCTCAACATTTATCTCCTTCAAATCAGCTGCTCACAAAACTGATTGGCTTCCTGCCCTCAGCTTGGCCCCCTAAACCCTGGAGTCAGGCTTCAGCCTTCTTGTTTTTACAATAAAAGACAGCCTGTGTACAGAGCTCTGAGCCACAGGGTCCGAGGATGTTGTAACAACATGGAGAAAACTTTAAACCCATTAAGAAATGGAAGCTACTAAAGCAAACTCAACTCAGCATTTCTTTGCTGTGAGCCATTGTATCAGAGCTTATTTCAAGCTAAGTACAAGCAAAAAGAGCAGAGTCTCTACTAAAGCTCAGGAAAACCAACTCCTGACTAACTCACAAAGCTTATTAGGAACAAGAGAGTTGATTTTCTGATTGTGTCATGCAGACTGTGTTGTGATAACTTTCTGAGTCTGTATTCTTCTATTTAATACTCTACTTTCATTAAGAACTCACGTAATGCTTGTATTGTGCTCCAGCCTGCTTGCATTATAATCTTCATAAACTCCTTTCCCACGTACCATTACACACTTCCAATCCCCAAAAAGATGAAGCAAAGGCAATCTTTCCTGCCATGGCAATGCTGGAGAGTGGATAAGCCAATAAGGAATAAGCAGGAGGAATAAGCAAAAGTCCTTGCTTCAGAGAAATATAAGACAAAGGCATATGAACCTTCATCTCTACTAAAATAAAAGACCAAAATGACAGTGGCTTCAACAAGGTAAGCATTATAACTATGCAATTTAGTGGTTTTTTTGTTTTTTTTTTTTTTTCCAAGCTCCTAAAAATATATATAGATTTAGCTTAGCAGTATGAGGCCTACAGCTGGAATACTTTTCACAGTTTTGGGCACTGCACTTCAAGAAAGATATGAACCAACTGGAGAGAATCCAGATGAGAGCAACAAGAATGATCAAAGGTCCAGAAAATGTGATGTATGAGGAAAGACCAAAAGAATTGGCTTTGTTTAGACTAGAGAGGAACAGTCTGAGCGGAGACATGACAACAGTCTTCAGACATGTTAAAGACTGCTGCAGAGGGGAAGATGAACTGTTCTCTGTTTCTGCGGGAAGTAGGCTAAAAAGCAATAGATTTAAATTAAAACAGTGGAGATTCAGATTAAACTTTAGGACAAACTTTCTGTTGATTACAGCAGTTGTACCTGAGAAGATTTCGCCTGTGGAAATGGTGAGATCCCATTGTTTCAGGTCTGGGTACAGGTATAGTGGAGTCTGCCTTGTGGCAGAGGCATGAACAGTAAGACCGGTCCAAATCCTTGTCAGTTTATTCTCCCCAGTGTTAGGAATGTAGGAAAGAGGCTGCATGTGAACAGAGCAATTATTTTTTTTCTGAAAGAATTTGCATGGGTCTGAGCCAAGTGGTCTTTGAACAGGAGATTGGCTGCATCCTGCAAGGTTAGCATCACTGCCCTATAACCATTACAAGCTCTTTGCAACTGTTAGACTCAGGAAAACAGGTTAAAATAAAGTTCTGCTCAGAAGTCCCTGGACACTATACTGGCAGTGGAGGCCTGTGTCAAAGAGCCTGAGTGTAAACAAGCATAACATCCTAAATATTGTAAAACATACCATCCAGTGATAGATTTCTGTTAATTCTATTATACAGAAAGATTTAATACAGGAAGGAACCCGAACATGTGACAATTTGTTAGAAAGTAGGAGATTACATAGTACAAAATGTATGCTGGAATGAATTTACAATTAATTTTTAACTATAAAACAGAATCGAAGAAAAAACAGGTGAAACTAAGACAAATGCAGGGTGAATGGAGACAAAGTGCCTGACTGATAATTCCAGAGATAACTGGGAATGTAGGCTAGCATTTCTGAGATCCCTTGTTTCAACAGGTGGCTTTTTGTTTCTCTTTGTCTGCTTTTCATTTATAATGGGAAAAAAAAAAAAAAAGGCAAGATTGCAAAAGCCAGCTTTTTCCTCAGTTTCTTTGGTGCTTTATGCTAAGCAGCCTTGGAGCTACAAAGGTTCACAGTCTTTCAAACATAGACTCATGCCGTAGAAGTGTTTACAATGGAAAGAAAAGTCCTTAAAATATATGGTCACATAGAGAATCGTATGGGATCTGCTGACAATACACTTTGAGATGTCTGCATCCTGGGACTGTGCATGAAGAGGCCTCCCTCCTCAGACAGACTTAGGTCACTGGATCTGTGGAAATACTGCTTTGGTTTGGAGCTGCTATATGTACTGGCTTCTGAGGAGGGAGTTCTGCAGAGGAGGAACTGTCTCTTTCGGTTTAATGTTTTCAGGGCACAAATTCAAGGTTTAGAAGGAGTATTGTGACACGTATATCCTCAGCCGGATGACAGAGCTTCCTCTGAAGTTGATGACGGTGTTAACGGTGATCATTTCCAAGTCCAACTGAATAGTACGGGGCCCCTTCACAGGGCGGGTCATCACCAGAGTAGCACTGATCGGTCCCGTTTGCTGTGCACAAAACAAGGGAAAACAGGTGAGATTTTAAAAAATGGCTCGTGGAAACTCTTATCTCACTGTGGCCATCAAGCAGCCAAAGTAACTGGGCTTTGTTGCATTGCTTGAAACCACTGCAATTCACGGGAGAGATAGCTTCATTTCAGCGTTTGGCTCCATTTCAGTGCTTTGTATGAACTATCAATCACCTTCTACAGTTTGTAAAGTCTTTGTTAACAGAGCTTGGAGAACAGATGTTCCTATGCGAACAGGATCAGGGATTGTGGTACAATTGTGTACATTAATGTCACAAAACCCTGCCCCCTGAAGAGAGCTTTAAAGATGTGAAAGTACTTCAGAAAAAGCTGTCGTTTAGTAAGTGAAAGCAGACCTTTGAAAAACCTGGCCAGAACAGTGAATTATAAGCATTTTAAAATCAGAGCGTCAATTAAAATTAAATGTAATTTGTTTTCTAGCACAAATTTACATACACAAAGCGGGATCTGATCTGTTTTACCATGAAACCGAGCATTTGTGTTATCTCTGACCAGAGAAGCCTGATGAAGCCAAATGAGGCCCGGCCCTTTCCTTTCCTTGGCAAGGAATAGGCTCCACCTGCTGGCTACCAGCCTGACAGTGGGAAGGGACAACTGGGACAAGTAGAGAGCTTGAGGGGACAGGTTACTGGCTCTGTGATAAATAACTAGCAGACTTGAGCAGCAATGAGGGTCACTGGAGCCTTAGGATCTGTTGGATCGACTGAGAGCAGGGGAGAAGGTTGGTGGGATCAGTAATGACTTTGCAACAGGAGAGCTCTTGTGAGGTGTAAATAGTCATTGCTAGACCCCTTTTCATTTCATGAGTTTGAAACATTCATCTTTTTTAAGTCAGTGAGAAATGTGTATTGGAATCTATCACACAACCTGTTTCTGTGAGGTGTAGGAGCCATCAATAGCCACCGAACATCACTTCAAGGGAATAGCAAAACTAGGTTTTGCCTACAGTTAAAAATCAACTTCCAAGTGCCACCATCCCTGGTGGCTCTGCCTCATTATGTGCAGACAATTCCCATCACCCCTGCATGTCACAGGTGCAGTAAAGATGACTGGGAAGCAGAGATGTCTTCTGAGGAAAATTCAGATTAAAAAAAAAAAAAGTAGTTTTGTCTTCTTTAACAATGTCTACATAAAATGTGTGTTCTCAGTGAAAAAAGTACATAACAAATTGTTCTGCCAATGACTAGGCCTAACAGGAATGACACAACCAGTAGGAAGAGAAACCAATACACAGACTGTATTGTAAGCAAAAACATCGTGACATGAATGACTGCTGGGGGTACAAACAAGTCAACCAGCTCGTACATAACTGATGGCACCCCCAATGATCCCACAAAAGACATGACTCGGCCCACAACAGGTGGTATGAACAGAGAACCGAGGTTGCCCACAGTTGGCATGGGAAACAGCCAGACCAGCCAGTTAAAGACATAAGAAAAAGGTGCCCACATGGCGACTCTCACCCAATCAGCCCACGTTCACAAAGGTCTAAACAGACCAGGGCCCAGCTCCAGGGAGAGTCAGGAGGTCTGCCCTGAACCAGGAAGCTCGGTGGAGTGCACTCCACAGACAGACACTCCTGACTCCCTGCAAGTGGTCCCAGCTTTTATCCCCAAGCAGACACCTGGCCTTTGTTCACTCAGTGCGGGACCCCTGGGGCTCATTTCCCTTATGGCTCTCCCTGCAGGGCCGGCCGCACCCTGGGGGGAAGCTATAAGGCAAATTACCCACCTCTGTATGAAGGGCTGTAGGAGTCACCCATATGTCAACCTTAATTTGGGGCTCGGAGTTCAAACCCCAGCATTTCACAAATGAGAGCAAAGAACCCAGAAAGTCAGTTTTTGGGTATTTTTTTTTTTTTTAATTTCCAGTGAAGAGTTTAATAAAGCAAACAAGAAATGCTGACTCTTTCCATGGCAATTATTGATTGTCCATCCAAAAAAAAAAGGTTTGGCAACATAGTTTCATGTGAGCAGGGGAGTCCTAAGCTGCTATTAGCCATGGGTACATCCCTGGACCTTCCTGAACCTGATGTCTCATAAAAGAAGCTTATTTGCTTTGAGTAGGCTACGCTCCTGAAAGAGCCAGCAGCCCCTGCAGATCAGCACGCTGCTCTGCATGTAAAAATGCCTCATACTAAAGGTTTAAATGATACTCATCAAAATCTGAGTTCTGTTCTGAAATGGATATTCAGCTGACAAGAAAATACTCTGTGTTTTGTTGTCAGGGAGCACCAGACTTACCCGCATGTAGAATTCCCTGCCCTCGTTCCCAGATTTGATTTGGAAAATGTAATAGGCTCCAGGGTAGCGAGTTGTTGCTTGCATCTGAAAAATGTCGGAAGGCACCGACCGGCCGGAGACCATCTCCATCACTCTGTACAGGACAGTGAATGGCTGATCCCTGCACCCGGCATTTTCAGCTGGACACATGCAGCGGCTGTTGTCAGAGATAGGGTTGTCACCAGGGCTTACAAATTCCTGTGATATTTGATTCTTCACGTGCAATTACAGCAGCATAAATACATACACAAGCAATGTTGTTGACTAGCTAGAAGAATCAATAAAACCTGTAATGAGTTTTCTCTCTTCCAGTATTCTCTGTGTTGCTATTCTGGCCAGCCTATGTCCCTGCCTTCTTTTTCTTGTCTTCTAGGCCAAAATATCTTGGCATCCACGTATCCTTAGATCACTCAAAAATCTGTGCTTGCTTTAAAGAAGCTTTGCAGGTGTAGAATACCCAGCATGGGTTTGTTCTGATAGCAATTTTTAACTGAACCATCCTCAAAATAATGTTAATTATTGGATTATTTAAATGATGGTGCTACTTAAATGTTGCATTCTTTGTTTAACAGTCTTTTATGTACTACATGAAAACATACAGCAAGACATCCTGGATCAAACCAAAGCTCTAGCATCAAATTCAGAGCCCTAAGGAAGAACAGGACAGCAAGCCAGGTGCATGACACTTCCACCAACAGCCTCCACTCATTTGTGTCTCAGGAAATTCTTGAAACAAAGATGTTTTCTGTGTATTCATCAACATCATTCTGTGTATTCATCAGCATGTATTTCTTAACCATCAGCTTGTCCAGCTTCCGCTTACACCCACATGAATGTTTGGCATCTACAGCCGTCTGCAGCCAGGAGCTCCAAAATCCCCTTCACCCCTCTCCGCACTGCCCCTTGCTGACTTCATCTGATGCTCCCAGCTCTTCTTTTGAAAGGAGAATGGCCAGTCAATCCTTGCTTATCCTCCTCATGCAGTTCAGGATTTTATATTTGACCCTGTTCATGGCTGAAGAGTCCTAACTTTCTTGTTTCTCACAAGGAAGGTATTCCATACTTTTGATCATCCTCTTTGCTCTTTATAAACCTTTGCCCAGTTATATTTCTTTTGAGTAGGGGAAGGAACTGCACAGTCTTGAAGATATGGGTACACAATAGAATTTACTCTGAGAAGATTCTCTACCTATTAACACCTCAAATTCATATTGTATTTCTGACCTCTAGTGAATGCTGCAGATCATGTAACTATCTCTAACAACCCCCAAATCTCAGTTTGGATGGTTTATGATCAAATCATAGAATTGTAGAATGGCTGGGGATGGAAGAGACTTTAAAGAACATTGAGATCCAAACTCCCTGCCATGAGCAGGGACACCTTCCACTTGACCAGATTGCTCAAAGCCCCATCCAACCTGACCTTGAACACTAACAGTGATGGGGCATCCACAGCTTCTCTGGGCAACTTGTTCCAGTGTCTCACTGCCCTCACAGTAAAGAATTCTTTCCTAATATCTGATCTAAATCTACCCTCTTTCAGTCTAGATTGATGCTCTGTACATAATTTGTGAATTTGGGATTGTCTTTTTACTTTACATTCATCTACACTGAATTTCATCTCCCATTATTATTGCACAGTCATTGAGGCTTGTTCTGCAATTCTCTCTGCTGTCCCCAGATATGGTTGCAGATGTTGCCTGTCTCATGGTTTATCCTTTTTCCAGCTTGCTTACAAATACGATGGACAAAGTAGGTCCAGCTCAGATCTCTGCAGAATTTCACTGTGAAAATTGACAATTTAATACTCTATTTATTTTTTATCTTTCAACCTCTTATGCTTCTGTGCCAGGGACTTCTCTCTTACTCATGGCTCCTTAATTTCCATACTAACCTTATGTGAGGTTCTTTTCAGAAGGCTTTGGAAACCCAAAGAGATTGCATCTTAAAAGGGTTATGAGGCAGGATGACACTTTATAAAAGCCACGTTGGGGAATTTACTGTAGAAGAGTTGTGTCTTTTTGCCTGTTTTTTCTATAACCTCCATTACTGACACCAATTTCAGACAGTTCATATGACATGCCCCCATAAAAAGGCTCCTGACATTACGAACACCCAGTTCCTTCAACAGAAAACACAGATGCAAGGCATTCATTTGGCTTTTATACTGACCACTTCTACACATATGCCACTAATTAAATGCAGTCACATCTAGACACAAGCCAAAGCCACCAAACACAAAGCTCAGAGATCAAGAGTTCTGGTGCAAGCTGATCTGCAAGGACTCTATAGCTGGGTTCCGGGGAATTTAGATACAGAGGCTCCAGATATTTCAAATTCCGGTTTAAGACTCTACTGCCTCTGAAGGTAGGTAAAACCCAAACTGGAAGAACAGAGCGTGTCCACTTCTCAGCTTCCCTAGATCAGAAAGCACTGTAAAGACATGAATAAATTGAAATGGAAAGAAGCTGATTCTTCATCTCTTGCTTTGTTATAAAACACGTTAGGCTACCAAGCAAGCCTAAGTAACTGGATTTCATGCAAACACTATGGATGAAATACTGTGGGCTGCAATATATAGAGATCTGTCTGGAGCTGAAATATTTTGAGCCCCAGGCAAATACCTACAAAAATGTAAAATAAACAGTCAGTTCTTAGAAATGTGGGATTTACTTTTTTACTTGCTCAAACAACTCCAAATTTAGACAGTAGCAGTGCTAGCAGTCCCATCCAGACATACCCAATTCCTGGACAAGGCAAATCAGTTTGTGGGCTTTTCAGCACTTTTTTACCTTTAAGCAGCAGGAAACTACTTGTATCCTGCTATAATTATAATCTAATATTTAAAGTACTTCTGAGACATAAGCTGTACATCTGATCATTCCCACATATCTAAGTATCGTATCATATCATATCATATCGTATCATATCACATCACACCTCACATCATATCCCACCTGGTGACCTGGTAAAGAATTGCAGTTTTTGAATTTTGCAGCAACATCATGTATGTATAGCTCTCTAGACACACTTCATGGATGAGTTTTTAAAATGCAGTTTATTTAGTTTAGGTATGCTTCACACAGACAGAATTTGCTTTTGTGGCTGTGGGTATGCTACTTACTTCTCATTAATCTGAATATAAGGATCCTCACATCTTACTGGGTCTAAGCATTTATATTCTCCTGGGATATTGAAACACGTTTGCTGCGGAGTGCAGGTGAAGTTTCTGATTTCACATTCATTGATATCTAAAATACAAGAAACAAGAGAAAGGCAGGGAAATATGTGCCAAAAGACACCAAATTTCATAACACTCTTGTACCATGAGAAGTGGGCTTTTGATACCTGGCCCCTCTTTTAAGATCATTTTTTACTCCATTCATTTTTGCATATTGGAGTGCTCCCATATGCTACATGCCACAAAAATAGAAAAGAAATTGGCTGCTCAAGATCTTTGACCTTGGAGTATGGGAAAACTAAAGAGAGACAGGTAGCAGAGAGGAGAGCATCTGAGGGCCTTCCCGTGTAGCTGTTTCCTAGTCAGCACTAAGACTTGCACCAACACACCAATTCACCTCAGTGGGACTATTTGTTTGATGACATTCTTGTCAGAATTACATAACTGGCCCCTACGAGTATTTCACTGTACAATGACAAGATCAAGCATCTCAGTTCTTGAAAACTTCTTTCCAGACACAGGTCCTATTTTCTGGTCCCCCTTGGGTTTTAATCAGTGTGGGAATGTTCTTACCTTGGCAGCTTCTGTTATCATCAAGCAAGTTATAACCTGAAGGACAGATACAGTAGTAAGAACCAGGCCCGTTCACACATTCATGCTGGCAGAGGAACTCTGAGAAGCTGCATTCATCCATGTCTGCAGAGGTAAAACAAAGTTTAGTGGCTTTGGCTTCACGTTCAAAAGAGCAGTCCTGCAGGCAGGTGGCCATCCAGACTACATGCTTGTTACTTCATCTGGAAGCTGGTGCCCTCCAGCTCTAACCTGGCAAAATGTATACAAGTTCTTGGTTAGACATTTTTCTCCTAGGGAAACCAAAGCTGCTGCTGAACACAATGCATGGCTTTTATTTATTTATTTTTCTTTTCAACCTGTCACCAGTTGGCTATCTTTTCAGTTCTGGTTTACGTCAGAGATAGAGAGTTTTGGCAGTAGCTTGCTTTTTTTTTTTTTTTCTGGAGAGCAAACTTCCCTTTCCCAGAGCCACATGGGTCCCAGCAGAACTCCTGCAGCCAACCCTGGCCGTGTTATGTTTCATAGCCTCTAGCCAATCACTTCCAATGCATTCCAGCAAGACTACAGAACACATCCCAGCTTGGGTCAGACCTACTGGAAGGCCCAACCATCTTCCAGATACCCAGGAAGCTAGTCTGTCAAATCTGTGACTGAAAGCAGAAATTGTGCTCTTTTCCCCTTACACTCATGAATTGACCAGTCCTTGTATTCTGCAGAACTGTGCTCAGCCAAGCAAGATGAACTTCAGAGCTGCACATTGACTGAGCATGGATGACTGAGGGGAAAACGCATGCAAAGGCACCAGACTGAGGGAGGCTGCATTTAATCATTTCCTTATTTCCTTGTTCAGGAGAAGAAAGAAACAAAGGCCAGAGCCCCAGCCAGGAACTCCCAAGTCCTTAATCCCAGCTCTGACATGTTGAGTCTCCCAGGCAAATTACTTTTACTCTTCAGACTGAATTTTCTTTTCTTCTAAATTTGGCTCAGTCCATTTATCTGCTTTTGGTGTTTTGTGCAGATGGATTGAAAGTATTTGAAGTCCAAACATGTTAAAGTGGCTTTATGGCTGCAACCATATTATCAAAAGGAAGCTGAAAGGAACTCTACACCTACATAGTCCTGTTTTTGTGTGACTTGCCCCAGCAAGCTGGCTGAAAAAAAACACTTTCCTGACAAAACATAGACCAAGAACTGACTCCATAAAGGGACTGAGATATCGCCCACCCCCTCAAGATGTCCTAGCCCAGACCTCTAGCACATTGGATTCGTATAACCTGTGCTCAGCTGCTGTCAAGCGCTGAAGGGACTTAAAGCCCCAAGGGTCCTACATTTCTGCTGATGAGCCCACACAGGACAGACACACCTTTGCTGTTCCTAAACACTTCTGGCATTCTGCTGACTATCTGAAGAAGACAAGATGGTAGGCATTTCAGAGCACGTCTAATGCAAGACCTCTGTGATTAGAAAATAATGCAAATTTTGGGAAAGCCAGGTTGAAATCTCTGCCTTTCTCCTTAAATTGGGGCACCATCTTCAAGGTAAGCTGGCTGCTAGGCCACTGACTAATCCAGAGGCTGTTGAAGTATATCTGGATCCCAGGTGTCTCATAGGAGTGCTCCTAAGCAGGTATTCCCTTTGCAAGACTGAGCAACATCTAGTGATTGCTTGTGAAGTGAAAGAAGCTCATCCAGAGAAGTTTGACCTGCTTTGACAAGCATTTTCTTGCACAGAATTGTAAGAAAAGTTTTTCTGTTCTAAATCTGGGTGGTGGAAAGTCCCTTCTGCTGGCTTAACTCACAGACATGAATAAGGCTCAAGGACCACCTCTTCTGTCACCATTTCATGCTGGCAATATTTATGTGGCACTGCATTAAACTCAGCTGGTTCAGGACCTCAGCTAGCTCAGGAGCACACAAAAAGGTGCAGGAGTCTAACGCAGAAGTAGAAACTCCATTAGAAAGCAGAAAAGTTAGATGTAAGGCCCTTTAGAGACTTCCATCTTTGGTTTTTTTTTCCCTTTTAATAAAGAGGTTTGCAGGGAAAAACAGCTTTGGAAACAATAGTCTATACATATACTGCATACAACATCTTATCTTTCAGAAACAGTGTGTTGCATCTGTTTACTGTAAATTAAGAAATAAGTATTTTCTAGTGCATTTTTCCTTCCAAGAAATATTGGCTGGGTTCTCTAATTTTATCAGGCTGTGGGAACATTAAGCACAGAAACAAGTTTTGCCTTCAATTAAAATAGAGCAATAAAATAAAAGCCAAAACAAGAGCGGAAAAAGTACAGTGACACAATCACAGTTTTCTTCTGCTATGTACCAAACAGATTAGCAATAGCTGTACTGAGAAACCATATATTGTTTCTGAAGTGTATCCAAAGCCATGCAGGGGAAACGGGGGAAGGTTTCAGGCAGAAGCATGCAGTTATAAGAGCAAGAGGAATACATGCATTCAAGAGACAAATGGAAAAGTGCTTTGTATAAAGTATTTCTTTAATCATGGAATAATGTTCTAGGACTATCCCTACTGCACTTGCTCTAATAAAGCTTCCTGTTCAGGACTACAAAGTGTTTTCTTATGTTTTTCTGTTATCTTGGAGCTTTTTAATATTTAGCTTATTTCTTTAAACCACTTGCAGCCCTCCTCCATTATGCTTTTCTGGGTCTTTGTTGTGTGCTTTAACTGGAAAGAAGATCCTATGAGTTGCTGTCATCCTGCTGCTAACTATGGGCAAAGGTAAAAAACCTTTTAAAAAGCATGTATGAAATGATACACTGGAAAAAGAAAACTTAATGGAATTAAAGAAACCGAAACAACAAATAACCAAAGATAGTTACCACTGCAGTTAACTCCATCAGCTTCCAGTTCGTAGCCAGGCTCGCAGCGGCAGAGAAAAGAGCCGTAGGTATTGACGCAGGTCTGAGTGCAAGGGTTGTCACTCGTACATTCGTTCACATCTATGGGAAACCAAGGCAGCAGTGACTCCTCCCTAAGCTCTATTTTCTATTTATTACTATAAAGCATTTCAAAGAGATTAGCTGTACGGTCAGAATTATTTGTTCTGAAAAAATATAACCAAGCCAGTATTGTTTATTGGGATTCAGGCAGATGCCTGGAAATAGCATGTTGGAAACACAACATGCGTGGAAACAAAGCATTTTGGGAATGTTTTCAATCAAAAAAATAACATGGAAGATGAAGATGAAATATTACAAATGCTTCTGTCTTTATCCTGCAATTTAAAAACCATTGAACTGATTTTGTCATAACAGAACCAAGACAAAGGCAGCAGGATATTCCTGAGGAAGAAATGCAATGAGGAAGGGTCCTCATGGAAACCTAGGGCTAAGACAAAACCAATTTTTTTAAAAACTATTTTTTATTCTTTTTAGAACATGAGCAGCTACTGACATAATATGCATAGGCCATTTCCTTCAGGATGTGGGAAGATGCTCCCTGCTTAGCTTTGGAGAGGCTTTATGAAGAGGTTGTGTTAACTTTGGTTGAGGTAGCACATCACAGCAAAAAGTGGTCTAATACTCAGGACCCTAGTCTGGAGCCTGGGAGAGCCAGGTCTAATTTACTGATCTGACAGAGTTTGCCTGTCTCAGGTGGGTCACACAGCCTCAGACTTTAAAAGTAAAATCAGTGCCTAAACTCTTGGTAATTTCAGTGAATTGAATAACTATATTTTAGGGGGCTTGGGCCTCTATGCATATTTCTCCTGATACACTGGTCGTGTTTCATCCATACCTCTCAGAGGTACTGTGAAACTACAGAAATATCTCAGGCTTACAATTCTATGAACATTTTCAAAAGCAGTGTTGGGAAGGTGACTCTAAAAACTCAGCAAGTTTTGAGGGTGTTGCTGGGTTTGGACCAAAGAGTTCTGTCACAATGTAGCACACGTAGTACCTTGGCACGATCTTCCGTCATCATTAAGGGTGAAACCTGGGTTGCACGTACAGGAGTAGGAACCAGGCACATTGGCACACAGCTGCTGGCAGTAGCCGTAGCGACATTCATCTATATCTATACGTGGGAAAGATGAAAAGTAGAGTGGTCTGCATTTTCACGTGCAGGTACAAAGCAGCAAACACACTGAGCCAATGGTACCAATAACACAGAAATAACCCAGCATACTGGTTATGGATATAACAGCTGAATTTTCAGGTGCTCAGACCCAGAGTTATAGTTAAAATAGTTAAAATACTCAGGAGAATGTAGTAGTGTGTTTTTATCCACAGCTGGCATCTATCAGTATCTCCTATGAACTGAATGTCATAGCTGTAATCTTCAGCTTAATGTGATGCCATCAGGAAGCCCAGAGTCTGTCCAGTTAAGCAGATACCTCAAAGCATACCTGATAGCTGGCATAACCCATCAGCACAAGCACAATGTTGTAGCAGATTTGTCCGAATCAAGACAGAAAGCTTTTTACCTCCACATATAGTAAAGCTACTCACTAGAAAAGCAGTATTTGTTACTAAATACTTCTTTTAGAGACGATATTCTTTAAAGACTTTTTAAAATTATTATTATTGACATTCAGATTTTATATTAATTTTTAACTGACAAGTTACAGACTCTACAACATAAACAGTAAATTTAATGCCAACATTGCAGTTTGGGCTGAATTGCAGCATTAGCAATACACTCAACTGACTGTTAAAAGCACAAGAAAATGCTGTAAGGTACGTAGGAGGGCTAGAGGAATTTTGCCCCTGGACTAATGGAACGAAACACCCAGAGTAGTTGTCCTTTACAAGTCTTTACATTTCCTTTTGTATCAACTGGCCTTTGATTTTTGATGGAGTTTTTTTAATAACTACTCTCAAAGCTTTGATGTTAAGTTTGTGCAGTAGAAAACCAAGTGTATTATCTCCAGTCGGTTTGCTGAAAGGAGCAAAGCAGGAAGGCACAGATTTTGGTGAAATGACCTTCATCATAGGCTCCAACACATGAAAATCGAAATGACAGAATTATCCCTATATTTCACATGTATACATATATACCTGATTGTGCACTGGCTGGACGGCCGGGCCCAGAGAGTGGTGGGGAATGGAGCTAAGTCTGGTTGGGGCCAGTCACAAGTGGTGTTCCCCAGGGCTCAGTGCTGCGGCCACTCCTCTTTAATATCTTCATCAATGATCTTGATGATCAGATTGAGAGCACCCTCAGCAAGTTAGTAGATGACACCAAGTCAGGTGGGCTTATTGATCTGCTTGAGGGTAGGACGGCCCTTCAGAGGGACCTGGACAGGCTGGACTGATGGGCCATAGTCAACTGAATGAGCTTTAGCAAGGTGAAGTGCCGAGTCCTGGACTTGGGCAGCAGCAACCCTAGACTTGGGGAGGAGTGACTGGAAAGCTGTTCTGCAGAAAGGAACCTGGGGGTGTTGATTGACTGCGGGCTGAATATAAGCCTGCAGTGTGCCCAGGTTGCCAAGAAAGCCAATGGCGTCCTGGCTTGTATTAGGAATAGTGTAGTCAACAGGACTAGAGAGGTGATTGTCCTCCTGTACTTGGCACTGGTGTGGCTGCATCTGGAGTACTGAATGCAGTTTTGGGTCCCTCACTACAAGAAGGACATTAAGATGCTGGATCAGGTCCAAAGCAGCACAGTTTAGCTGCTGAAGGGCCTAGAGAACAAGTGTTATGAGGAGCGGCTGAGGGAACTGGGGCTGTTCAGCCTGGAGAAAAGGAAGCTGCGGGGAGACCTTATTGCTCTCTACAACTACCTGAAAGGAGGTTGTAGGGAGGCTGGTGTCGGCCTCTGCTTACATGCCACAACTGATAGAACAAGAGGAAATGGTATTAAGTTATACCAGGGTAGGTTTAGGTTAGACATTAGGAAAAACTTCTACACCGAAAGGGTGATCAAACGCTGGAACAGGCTTCCCAGGGAAGTGGTTGAATCACCATCCCTGGATGTATTTAAAAACCATGTAGATGGGTTGCTCAGGGATATGGTGTAGAAGTGGCCTGTTAGAGTCAGATAATGGTGGGATTTGATAATCATTAAGGACCTTTCCAACCATAGTGATTCTTTGTGTAATTCAAGTAGTTCATTATTTGTAAGTTAAATTGGCTGCTTCCTGTTTTAGTGTTAACTATTAAGAATGTGTTGGGAAACTGAATTCGTGAACTACTTGAACGTTTACATGATGTGGTAATACCAGAAAAACAACAGTGTTGTGTATCTATTGTATGAGTAGCTATATCCTGCAATTGAAGTTGATGTTGTTGGTCTCATTGGGGCAGTTTTGCCATAGAAAGTCTCAGGAAACCATTCTGAAAATGTCAGAAGTCTTGGAAATACTCTCTCTGTGTGAAATAACAAGGACACAAGGACAGTGGCCTCAGTTTCACCCTTACTAGCTTTTACTTCTCACTGCATTCTAAATAGAAGATAACCTAAAGGCTGGGATCACCTATGGTAAGTACACCAGCAGTGGGCTTGGCCCAAATCCTGCAGAAAGCAACAAGAGTTTTAAATAAATTAATATCTCATTTCACTGACACAACACATACAGGCTCCTCCTGTATAAACTCTACTGGGATAATTACAACAGATAGAAGTGTTGCTTTTTGTAACTCTGGTTTACTCACGGTGCACCAAATGTCTCTAAAACTCAACCCAGCCTTCTGATTACAGTAAATGGTCTTTTACTGGTTTATGCCAGCAAAATCACCTCTCCAAGGCCAGTGGAAAGTACAGAAAACTGAGAGATTTTGACACTCGGGGAAAATATAGCAACTCTGCAAACAATTTGCTTTTTGCATTGACTTGTCCTAATCCATCCCATGATTACCTAAAGTGGGCAACACTGGGATGTCATTGCCTATTTTAAATAACATAAGCAGATACACAAATCAATTCAGCAATGGAGCCATTTCAGTTCTCTGGTGTATCCATCAAGCAGTAAAGTACTTTAGAACCATGCCCAGCTCCTGAATGCTGCACAGAACCGTTGGGTTGTAACTGGAAGAAGTATAAAAAACAGGTGATGCAGAGCAGAATCCTCCTCCCCGTCCTCCCTCATCCCCACCTCATCAGGCCTCTACAAGCCCTAGCACAAGATTTTTTTCTTTTCCAAGAGAAGAGGAGTTATCAGGGATTAAGGAGCAGAGGGCTTGAAGACTTCAAGACAGAGACTCCCCAAAGTGACTATGGCTGCACAGATCCCAGCTTGGATGCAGCTCAGCTCTGCCCCTGCCAGGTGAGCTACACAGCAGCTGTTTGCAGTAGTTAGGAAAGCAGCCATGAGTCAGTCCACTGGAACTGGTGTTTGGGAGGAGAAAGTTAGAAAATAACTGGAGAGGCTCCAGAGATGAATGGGCAGGGAAAGCCCATTCTCCTTCCAGCAGAGGTGTTGTGACAGGACAGTCCAGCTCTGCAGAGCTGGCAGGCAAATAGCCTGTGCCAGGGGGACAAAAAAAAAAAAAAGAGAGAAAGCTTAAAAAAACCCAAAAGCTGTATCCTATCTCCTAAGTCATATCTGTGTACCTAAAATAAACATCTGCTTCATCATCCAATGGGCATATCAAGTGAGAGGAACAGGCTGGAAGAGAGGGAGCTGGAAGGTTTTCCTGATTGTTGAGAGATGTTTTTTTCAACAGGGCTGAGCTAAAAATACAAACAGGACATTGCCACAAGGAAAATAATAAAATTGAAATAAAACTCCTTGGAACTGCTGAAACGGTACCCAGTTCAGAGGTAATTTCTTTTCCACCCCCAAACAAAAGGGTTGGTTGAATCTAGGGTTTTACTGGCCTGTTTCTTGATAGCAAATACTGATCCCTTTGTGACCTTACTGTTATGATGTGGAAATGACAGACTGTGTTTGGGAATAAATCTTTTTTTATACATACTTGTGATTGAGCTTATGTGAAAAGGAATCCTTCAGACAGGGATTATGAAAATCCTGTGTGTTACGTGGTTGCTAATCATATGGCATTTACATCTAGGGTTTGGTTCTGCAAGGGAGTCACTCTGCCAGGCATATTATTGGCACACATAAAGGTGAAAGGCAGTTTCCACATAGCTGAAGGTTTAACCATGTACTTGACAAAGACACTCAGTGACATTATTTCAGCTATTCACAGGCACACACACACAGATACTCAAATACCACATCACACAAGGTTTTTACCTAAACACTGGCCTTCTAACAGCCAGTAGCCTTCAGTGCAGGAACAGGTATAACCCCCCTCAGTATTTATGCAGATCTGGGTGGGGTTACACTGGTGAGAATCTGAAGCGCATTCATCCACGTCTGCAACACAGAAATAAAGCAAGAAAATATTAGAAATGGAAAAAAAAAAAAAGACAGATTGTTCACACTGTACTGGGACTTGCATTCACAGTGTGTGCTCTGGCTCCATGCAAGAAACCAAAGTGTGGTGCTGTAGAGAGAATGACCATAACCTGAAATAAAATTCATAATAATAAATGTCTGAGGGCAGTGAGAACTGAGGGTGTTCATCCCTTTTCTGGATGACCAAGTGTTTCTCAGAGCTTCTCAGGAAAGGAATAGCATTACCTTGAGCTTTTTGTTGCTTCTACATTTGCTTAGCCACTGACCTGGGGTTGCTACAGGGCAGTGTTCAGCCTGAGGGAAAGGCTGCTGAAAGGGCTATACAACCTCACTGAAGAGTAAGAAATAAATGGGACTTCAGGAGATGTACAAACACAACTCAGACAAATTGAAAAAAATCAATTCCTACCCCCACCAATGAGCAATATTTCACTGCAATTTTTCTGACAGAAGGTTCAACCAAAATCAAGCTTTACATGATAAAAAAACCATATACTTTCCTGGAATCAATTTCCTGACAATAAAACTCTTTTCTTATTTTTTTTTTTACCATCCTTATTAGTTTTAATGTATTTGGGTTTTTATTACAACCCCTTAAGGTATTTTTGTTGTGGGCTATTTTGTTTTTCTTTTTTATTTTTTTTTTGCAAAGGAGGTGAATAGCATTCCTATATTTATATAAGCCAGGACCCTGGAACCTGACTGATTAAAAATGCCTTTCAGAGTCAGAAGTTCAGCTTGAATCACTCCTTGCTCAATCTCTTCCCTGATGTTTCTGGCGTAGGGTTTGCCTCTAGATGTCACAAATGGAATTATCAAAAGATGAATTGTGTAATTCTTTCAGCCAACTCAGATTTCTGTGTTTTATTTATTGATAGCAAAATAATTTTTTATTCTAGTAGACTGTGCACTGCCTTTGCTGAAGTACTATGTCATCCAAGCAATGCTACTCCCTTGATCCCCCCTTGATTCTTATTTAAAAACCTTTCTATTTGTCACATTTGCTTATTGTTTTAGGAGTGGGACCTTGGTATCTCACGAATTCTGCTGTTTCTAGCCTACCTCAAGCTTAAAAAGATTTTAATTTCCATGCTGCTTCCAGTAATGCTAGTAGGTGAAGCACAGTGGATACAAAACGAGGGCCAAAGTCTTACCACCACATATGGTAGCAATGCTGTTTGAAGACTGTAGACCCTCCACTCTTCTGTGGTGCATCTTTCTTGCAGGGGTACAACATGCATTCCTCACCAAAAGCAACAGGTGGCTATGGGATCAGTTTTGCTCCTGAGTCATCTTTGTAGCAGTTGCATGAGCAGCAGTACAATCACTCCAGCAAAGTAAAACATTGAGCCTCTTTTCTTTGCAATCCAGCAAGCAGATTTCTTTGCTAACCCCAAGTCTTAACCTTTTGTGATGGTATTGGAGACATGCTTCTATTTGAATGCAAAATTTTTTATAACTACAAAAGTTGATCAGCCTGAATTTGTCTGTTCAGAACACGTTGACTCCCTGCATTTTACACTGAATAATACCTCACTGAATTTATTAATGGAGTTTTATGCAGCAAACAAGTATAAACAGCTTTACTGGTAGCATCAAATCTTTTTACTCGTGCCTGAGCACATACACCCAGTTCTATGTTACCTATCTCTGGCTTTCTCTAAAACTGCCCCTTACCACGATGTGCCATTAAACTCTGACAGACCCAGCCAATACAATCAAATAAATTATTTTTGATAAGCAGCCTTCTCAGTTTGAACAGGTAGTATAACCCCAAACTGTCTGCCAGGGGTTATTTACATTTACATGGGCTCACTAAGTGAAAACTGATACATGCACTCTGAGAAAAATGTCAGTGCAAAAACTGGCTGTTATGTATGCTCTTGAAGAATACCAGAGCTGGGAGACAGAGGGTGCTTTGCTCAGCCCATTTACACAGCACAGCATACAGTGAGAACTGGTGTGGTTGATAAAGTGAAAACTAGACATTTGACAGGGAAAGGGGAAAAAAAACCCACAAATTATTTCCACTAGGGAGAAAACTAGTCATAAAACTTTAGAGATTGCCTATAATGGATTCAGTAGTCTTAAGTGCCAGCATAGAAACTGTATCAGAACACTCCCAGGGCATTTTTGGTTGGGTGGAAAACTATGAGTGGAAAACTGCAAGTGGAAACAGCCTGACAGCTAGACAAAAATGTGTAAATAATTTCTTATCCTGGTTGAACAGCTTATTTCTGTCCTGTTCAAACATAAAACTTGGGTGTATTCATGCTCTGGGAATATCACTTCTAAGCTCGTTCTTATTACCTTTGCCCTTGTTGTGGGCCATACACAATTCTAATGTGAAATTGTGATGCTAAATGTACATGGTACTAAACTCTCAATAGTTTTGTAGATTTAAAGCAGATAAGACTAATTAAGAGAATAAAAAATTGTAAGGACTACTCAATAAAAAGATAGTACTTGTGGCTAAGAAGACCCTGAGATGGAGTTTCTGGAGTCTGGAAGAGTTCTGACCCTGCATAACTTGTGTAGCAATCTTCACCATGGAAATAAATGCCACAATGAGTTGTCTGAGACCCCAGGTAAAGTCTAATCAGCTGGAGAGCAGAAGAACTACTAAACTGAAGCAAGCTAGCGAGAAACCCTAGAAACCTCACTGCCCCCCATTCAAGGTGTTAATGCATTGTGATATTTGATGATTTCAACATCAGTACCATGACAGCATCATATGGTGGCACCCATTACTGATATCCAAGGATGGTTTTCATTATACTGAACCTACTTCTCATATCTTTCATTGCCAACATCCTTAAAATCCGTTACCTATATCCCAGGAGTAAGTCTAGGTTTTACTAGTAGATAGTGTTACTGAATAGCTCTTCTGCGATTTTGGGTAGATTACTCAGTATGTGGCTACAAGAATTGCCATGCGGTGATCGAGAAATCAAATATAAATTAGATCTTGTCTCTGTGAAAACAGTCGAAGGTACCTGGTAGTTACTATGGAGGACAAGGAACAAGCACAGCAGCAGTGACCTCACTGTAATTCATGTGCTGAGAATTTACCCTGTGGGAACTCATCCTTGCTCCTTGTCTTCCACTGCCCTCCTTCCTATTTGAAAAATGAGGATAACAAAATCTGTGTTGTTGCCCAGCCTCCCTCACTGTCTAGAATCTAAAACTAGTCCAGGCAAGACCTGTCCTCTTATTTACAGAGCCAGTTCACAATTAGTCCATTTTTATTCAAAGCTTTCCAATCCTAATATAAATTAAACTGTAGTATGAAACCCTGCAATGTCCCACTTGGTGATAAATACCAGTGCCCCTGGATTTTAACCAGGAAATTCAAGACTACAGAATGAAAGGACTAGCCTACAACCACTGAACGAAACAGAAGCAAGAACAGGTCATGGATGTTTCTGACTTGTAGTCCTTCATGTAGCCCAATACAACCAGCCCCTATTATGTGAACATTTAAAGATGCAACTTTTTCAGAAATCATATGGAGCCTCTACAGTGGCTAATGAGATATAAAGTAAAAGATTAACCATCATTCTGAAAGCATTACCTTCTACTAAGAGGCATCAAAGGCTCTTCCAGCTAAACTCTGTGCTACTCACAATGTAACTGTTCTACCCTACTGGTGTGTTGAATCTCAGTTTCCAGTAGTTACTGGAACAGACAGAGAACTATTGACACAGTCAGTGGCAAACTGGAAGAGTTATCTACCTGTTACACCTCTTCTCACCCTTACAGACAGAACTGGGATTGTTGCTGTGAAATTACATATGAAAACAAGAGGATGTTAAAGATTGTCATACCTAATAATTTTTAGCAAATAAGTCCAAATTTCCCTGAGTGACTCTGGGTGACTCCTTAGAGGTTCCTGATTTTGAGAGAGCAGCTGTTCAGCACTTAAAACCACACTAGAGAACCCAGGCAGGGCAGGATGGATCCCTGTTCAAAACTTTGCTTGCCAAGGAATGCTTGGACAATGCTGGCTCTGGATGTTTTGACTCTTGATTATGTTGCTGTGTGCTATTAAATTTGCAGGCATTTATATTCTCTCATCCATCCTTCCAGTTGTTGTGTTCACATTACTGCTTCCACAGCTAGTTCCAAGGACAGAAGTTCAGGCAGAAGTCCAGACTGAAATTAAAATTTGACCTGAAGTGGGAACGAATCACTTTGTTACTTCCCGGATGAGTACTGAGAGCAACCACACAGCCCATCTCTCGATCCCTGACCACTGCTCTCTGTCTCCAAAGAAATGCCACTTAGAATGAACACTGTGCCTCATGGCTCAAACCCATGATTTTTAAAGACATTTGTTTTACTGAGTGAGTGAGAGAATAGGTAGGTGGCATCTCTATATACATTTTTCAGGAAGCCCTTGCCACAAAAACCTGGGCCCAAAGACTCCAAAGTTCACCACATCCCTCTCTCTTACCTCAATGTGTCTGCCTTAAAAATTTATGCCTGTGGTGGTTTGGTCTAGCAACCCTGGGATGTGATGTTCTGTTTACTTGACATTTTGACAGAGGTGAGGTGGCTGGGGCAATGGAGTTTCATTTGGGGATTGGAAGGGTGGAGAAAGTGAGGGTTTATATTTCTGGCTGACTTGATGCCTTTTGTGGGATATAATGTACTGATTATTTGTTTTTATTGGTACAGATTGTATTTTTAATGAATGGCAGGATGCCTGGTGACTGGATAGATGTCATTTACAATGTCAAAATAAATAAATTAACTAGTTGTGTTTAGCATGCAAATTACTGGCTTTGTGTTTTATTATCTGTAGAAACTAGCATTAATCTTCATGGATTCTTTACCATTTAGCCACATCATAGAACAATGAATGAAATTTTTAATTCATTGCCCATAAACTGAAAAAATAAGAATTAAGTGAAAAGCCATGCATACAAAAAACCCACACCCCGTTTCTATAGTCA